ACTTGAAGACCTACTAATTGACTATTTAAACAAGTAAAATATTACGAGTTAATCGTCACTTTAAATATCACGAATTAGTCATGTGTCCATATCTTTCCAACTCTAGCTAACCTCTCCAAATCAAACTCGCCTCCGTTGCAATCTCCTTCATACCTCAATTGTTCCATCTCTTACGAGTTGATAAACTCGCTTCAAGTGCTAAATTTACATTTCGTATCAACAGACATAGCGCTTTACGCTATGCAAAAAGTCCTTATTGGTTTTGTATATCTCGTGGAGCGTTCCCCAGTGCGTTCGTCACATTCTGGGAGATTACTTATTTTGGATACACAGAGCGATGAAATGCCAGCGACATTCTTGTATATAACTCAAACCGTGGGTCTGCGTAGTCTAAAATAATAAGCGAGTTATAATTATATTTCCGAGTACCCGTTTCCATTAAACTGTTTCTTATGTACGACCCCATATTATATTTTATTTGAATGTAAATAAAACATACAATGAAAATAATATAACTTGAAATATATGCACTGGTGGAAAAGTATTGCAACACCGGGAAAGGCACGAGCAGTTCAGTAGGCGATAAGGAACATTAGGGATGAGGAATCGTAGAAGCCGTGATTAACATTTCACGGATGACTGGCGCCCGGTAACGTAATGACAGCGTGACGAAATGGCCCGGCCGCGCCATCTACTTTTTCTTTTTTATAAAGGCGCGGTCCACTTCGATAACGTCTAATCGCGACTTAGGTACACCACGGCGTCGCACTCGTTCGTCCTTTAAGCAATTGGACCAATTTTGAGCGGGTCGGATTGGCGCCTGTGCGAAGCAGGGTGGTCCTTACGGCGCATTTGCTGACCACGTGGGCCGTGATACGACGTCGGGGTGCAGTGCTGGCGACGATGGTAGACGAGCATCCTCGTAGCGTAGACCCTCTTCGGGGTGATCGCGGAGCACTGACGCATCGCGAGGCGGCGTTGGCACAACCCTACCGGCAACCCGCGCCGCGATACAGGCACATGAGCCCCCAACCTGTCTTCCAAGCACCGTGGCAACCTGTCTCCAAGCCACCGTTGGAAACCTGTCTCCAAGCACCGTTGGAACCTGTCTCAAGCACCGTTGGAAACCTGTCTCCAAGCACCGTTGGAAACCTGTCTCCAAGCACCGTTGGAACCCGTGTCCTGCCAAGCACCGTTGGAAACCTGTCTCCAAGCACCGTTGAACCTGTCTCCAAGCACCAGTTGGAAACCGGTTACTGGTCGCAGGATTACAATCCCGCATACCGCTAGCCCGACTGCCAGTCACGCCGAACCATCGGGCACATCTGGCGTGGTACAAAGTGCTAGTCAGCTCGGAGACGGAATGGCGTGCAGTGGTGTTGAGTGATGAGAGCCGCTTCTGCCTGCACGCGAGTGATGGTCGTGTGCGTGTGCGGCGTCGCACAGCACGCGTGCAATCTCCTTCGTCGGCGAGCGCGTGCGTGCGTCCGGAGTGTGTTCGTCCACGTCACGTAGGACCCACCCCGGGAGTGATGGTGTGGGCGGCCATCGCCTACGACGCGCGTTTGTCTTCGCTGTTCGTGGAGAGATCATTGGCCAGCGCTGGATACATCCAGCACGTTGTGCGGTCTGTGGTGATATCGATGTTCGTCAACTGCCCTGGCCGGCACGCTCGCCGGATTTGTTCGCGATCGAGCATGTGTAGGACGTGATGGGTCAACGCCTGACCCGACCTGCGACTCCTAAAACGACTCTGCCCGCTGGCGTGAAGCGGTGAAGGAGGCGTGGAACAGTGTACCGCAGGAACAGTGTACCATTCGCCACCTGTGCGATGGAATGTCAGCTCGCACCAGAGCTTGTCGTACTAGACGTGAGTACACGCAGTATTGATTGTGCCGTTTCCGGCCCATGATTCTCTCTGTTATTGAACGTGGTAGTCTCACGTGGCTCTGCCCATGTAATCATGTGTAGTATTCTTCCTGTGTGTGCTGTATCTGTACGGAGGGATAAATTGTACAATGCACTCGGAGTTTTGCAATACATTTTTTCCGCCAGTGTAATTAATAATTACATTTGATTTTATTCTGATCTGTTTACAGGTGAGAGCGTAGGCTTCTGCGGCCGGAGTCAGTATTTACTAGGCTGTCTCAGGGCGTAATGCCCTGAGGAAGGTCGCAGAAAGGCGACCGAAACGTCGGCACCTTCGCCATGGACGCGGCGTCGCCCGGACAGCCTAGTAAATACTGTTTACAGGTGACCAAATGGCTTGGAGAGCTTTTTCCCCAATGCCCACTTCCCTAAATTGTCACGTTAGAAACTAGTAATCCTAAAACGTATTTTCTCGCCCGTACTTTTACGCAAAAATTAGGCGGAAAGTACTCAAATTTTTGAAAAATTATACATCACGTTCTTTCAAAACCTGTCTTTAAGGAACATATTTAATGAAGGAAAAACTAATTTTAATAAATTAAATTTTTTGTATATCTGGAAAACGTCCTAGGGCCTTCATGTTAAGTACCCGCCAAAATTAAAATTTCGGTTTCAAAAATAGTTGCAATTTCTGTTTGCAATTATTTTTATATGTAAAGAACCTTATTTATAAAATATTTTACTAACCATTCATTAGAAACAATGCAAAAGTTGATAATTTAATAATACTGTCTTATACTATCATTTTTGTTTATTTCATCCAACAAATGTATTAGTATGTTCCTCATGTAATATTTTTATAGGTAATACAAATATTTCTTGCCCTTTGAGAAAAGGATTATCTCTAATGGCAACAATACACCTTCATATTTCTAAAACAAAAACTAGATTTATGAGTCACATTACAAATTACAACACTAATGTACGTGTGATACCAAATCAGCTGTTTTGCTTTCCTTGAACTATATTGTTTGGAAGTGAAGATGCTTGAAAAAAATTGGATTTTAGGATTTAAACCGCTTAATAGATATATTTTTAAGTGAAGCTTCTGTAACTCACGTACAAAAACAGTTCACAGCGATATTAGGAGGTACTAGTACAGCAGAATAATTAGATAATGAATACAGTATAAATATTGGAATTCACAGTTAATTGTATTCTTTTCAATTAGCTTTAAGAGGCTACAATGAAACTACAAAATCCACAAATCCAGGAGTATTTAGAAGATTAATTGATTTCAGTGCCTTAACTAGACGTTGCTTAAAAAATATCAGGAAAGTGCGATAATGAATTAATAGTCGAGTCCAAACGAGTCCAAAGCAGTGCTAGTTGCGGAGTGCGATCACACACTGCTGACCTGCATGCGGAATGCGATCACAGTATTTTCGAAAACTAGTTGATTTTTGAATCGTACGAATACTGTTTACGACTCAAATTGTCTCGATGCAGCACTAACGCAAACACTCGTGTGCCCACTAGAAATAAAAGCAAGAACCATGAGCGCGGGAGAACATACCCGACACAGATTACGAATAAAATTATGTATAAATAATGTCATTTTATAGGTCATTTTCAAATAATTTTTAGGACATCAGAATCAGAGCCCTGGTCAATAGGGAGTTTATGCCAGTCTTAGCGGGGAAATATTTTTACCCGCTATTGCATTTTTGTGTCAGCGCATGCCCAACTCGAAATGTTAGCGGGGCCTGCCATGTCCCACTATTTCGCCTGATTTAGCGGGCGATTCCGTGTGACTTATGTCTCATGGTAATCGATCCTTCGGCCATTTTATATGGAATTAGTACCCGACTGTGGCGGCAGAGTGTGCTGCTAACAGTATTTCCATGGAGCTATTACGCAACTGTCAACTGATTTGATTTAGATTTATTTAGTCAAAAAACAGTAAACACTCTATGTGACATATGGAGGAGACGATAATCTGCGCCCATTTTCTTGAGTTCCAGAATCCCTTCCTGTTATTTTAACTATAAATAGGTGAAGATGTGTAAACGTTAAAAGATAAATAGGTAAATAAGAATAAAATTTCAAAAAGCGTGAGATTAGCAACATTTGAAAACAGATTAGATGTTTTCGTTCCCGAGCTATTGAAAACTTATTTGCAACGGTAAACGAACTGTAGATTTGATTTTTCAGCATTGCTAAAACTCGCCCTACCTCTACTCGTTTACTCCTACCACTACAAGCAAAAGGAGAATTCAACAAAACGTGCGCATAATGAAGCTATATTTATGTCCAGAAGCAAAAGTACGGGCCATCGCAGCATTTTCTCAATGTATCAGGGAAAGTAGACAAAAAACCTGATGAAGATGGGGGGGGGGGTCATTGATCCGGAAGCTGAATTATATTGTTTGTTACAAGCGTATTCAATCTTTAAAAAAAAAAATACAATAAACATGTATTTATTCACTTGCTTACATTATATGTATCTTAACTTATGTAGTTTATCAGTGAATCATTATGCCAAAGTATAGGTTGTCAGAGAAGTTGACATATTAATTATGTGAAGAAAAACTTATATTTGTATGTTTCTGAAATAGTGAATACCTTTGTTTACAAAATGAATTAAGGATGAAAAAGATCTGTATTTCTTACATTACTCCATTTGCTTGATAATACTTTTCAATTTTTAAATCGACATATGGAGGTCCTACTTCATTTCTGCTTTACAAATTTAATACAAGAATACTAGTATTAATATGTAAATATGCGAGATTTGGGTACCAATTTTAATACTAATTTTATTTATTAGCAAATTTATATACACAAGTAATGAAAATTAACAAAGTGCCTAATGAAGTAAGGAACAGCTGTGAACTGCTGCACAGCTAATGGCAATTTCACTGTAGCAGCCACAATTTGAAACTTCTTCCATTGCAACTTCCACGTTTCCACCTAAACCTGCAAAACCTCTTTTTCGATTTCACCAGCTATCGATATCGATACACCTGTTTATTGCTTTAATGTTCGAGGGTGCACGAACTCCGCAGTCTCGATCGATACTCGCGGCGAACATCGACACTGTTGCGTGCGTAGCCACGTGAACGGGAAACCCCCGTTGTCGACTGGTCACCAACGCTGCCGCGCTCACTGACGTGGCTGTGACGCGAGCAGGACACAAGGTCATAAGGAAGCGCAAGAAAGCGAGCGAAAGCGAGCTTCCTCTCAGCACACAGGCAATATACTGACATACCAGACATACTGTTTATACTGCTGTTTACTATTACTCTTCAATAATAGGCGTTACTACCACGCTGATAACTGCCGTCACTGCCCTCGGCATCCACTCGGGTCATAGCAGATAACCCACGCGTGCTTTTAGTGCACTGAGATACAGACAGCGAGAAAAGGTAAGAAGATTATATGCATTGTATGCAGCATTTTATCTACCAATTGTGTTATCGTATTTCACTACCTATTTGCACTACAAAATTCATCCATTTGCAAATCAAATTCGCTCTTTTATACATAGAGTTCAGTCTGCAAATCGAACTCGATCTTATGCAATCATTCACCCGTTTGGTTTATGAAAAAATTTTGCGAACACAATTTTATTGAAAAAATTGTGGAAGTGCATATTAAATCAAATATGCATTTATTCTATACAACTGAATGTTTGTATTATCACAAGTAAGTAGGCTACTTACTGCAAATAGCTTAACCGACTAAATTTTGACATGCCTACTACATACACAATTAGATAACATTTTAATTTTTTGTGCTCATTAATCCTTACAATGGTGTCCTTATAGTAGTGACAGGTAATTTTATATTCTGCAGATAATAAATTATCTACATTACTTAACATAATTTTAAAAATCAGGAAAGTAATCAGTTGAAACTCGACTGTGATTGAAAGAATCAGCCGGGTTATTTATCTCTAATTTTTAGGTTTAAATGTACTTCTTACACTTCCTCAAGTGAGACATTGTGCCTTACAACAGTGATGCACTTCACAATAATTAATGGAAAGTTACTGAACATATTACAATACATTATGATTCAACTGATTATTTCAAAATAAATACGAATTATTGAATTTTTTACTTTGATTTCTTAAAGTAGTATGTCAAGTAAAATTTTCATTGTAAGTATTTTTCAAAGGTTTGAGTAGATCTACAAGGCATCATGATTTTCTTCTTGACTTCTTTTGTACCAAAATTAAAAACAGTTCAACTACAGGAACGGAAATGTATGAGAGTTTATTAGAAATACTTATTTATAGAAGATAAATATTTATTATAAGAAGTAGTTCAAGTAATTCTCATTCAGTTCATGTATCGGCAATAAATTCAAGTACATATTTTGAAATGTTTTAGCTGGTGTACTTAAATTTGTTTTCTGGACATTCATAAAAAAATTATACAAATTATCGATTCGTATCCTTCAAGAGACGTGACTTGATTAGCAAATATGATTTTGGATTATTAATTGAATTTTAAGTAGGCATTAACATTTTCAGTTTTTTAATAATTATATATTATTTTCTAGTCAGTCATGAACTAAATGTATTTAAATATATATTATAGGAGTAACTAAGCCTACTATTACTCATGCTGTAATCTGTGCTGCCAATAATCGATCATATTTGTGATTTAAGGTATTGAAAAGTGAAAATTAAAGACTAATTTTTAGGAATTAATTTATGGTGCGTGGATCATTTAATAAAGTTACATTATCATATAGTAAGACTGAAGAGTACTGTATGTTGCATCAATAGCAGAACATCGTTTATAAAACCCGTGCCATTACATAAAAAATTTTTTTGGTATCCTTTAGGCAAGAATAGTCTTCTGTATGTATTGAGAAAGTATGAATTCTTGAGACACTGCAAGTAGTATTGAATGGTATCTTGATATAGAATTATTAATGTAAACTAAAGGATCTCTCGGAAAGGTAGCTATTTTTAGTAGATATGCACCTTTATTGGTGAAATTAACCTTGATGGATTCATACTACATTTTTATTGCAACAATATATTGTAATTGTCAGTTTATTTATTTATTTACGTTAAAAACTGTGTGTGATGTGCTATGGGGAGAAGTTAATTTGAAGTTATATTTATGTCCAGAAGCAAAACAAGGGGTCATATCAGCATTTGCTTGAGGATCAGGGAAACTGGACGAAAACCTGATCGAGACAGTACAGTAAATTAGTAATATTACAGTATATGGATATTTGTAAATTAGTAATAGTATAATTAGTATATTTGTAAATTAGTCATGCAAATTTCTGAACAAAACTATTTTAATATATTGTAACCTTATGTATAAACATTTTCAAATATAAAATTGTATAAAAATTTGTCTAACACTAAGTAATGGAATTTCCTTTTAAAACAACTAGTTTTTCAAACAAATCAGATAATAAACCCCTAGTTGGCAAACGTATAAAACCTTGAAAGGAAAACAGTCATTCAACTGGCATGGTTTGTTATAGTGTTATAACAAAAAAATGCTTTTTTTATTGTAGGATAATAACTGTCCAGCGTTTTTAATGATTTAGATTTATTATTTAAAAATGAAGAGGATCCAAATTCAACAGCTGAAAGGTGCTTTTATATTTGTTTCAATGATGAGATTTCACTAGTGGAATCAAATAAATAGAAACTATCCTCATTCTAAAATGTCTTCTTAGTCTATATTTAAAGTATATTAAGTATTTATTTTTTTAAATACATCTACTTTATTTATTTAATTATGTTTCTAAAATAAATTAAATTACATCTCAAAAATACTATTTTTCATGTACAAAATGTTTTTAAATATGTACTTCAAATACAAGTATTTAAATACTGCCCAACCCTGTATACTGCCTACTTAAAAATGTTTATAACAGTCTGTTTCACCTTTTAAGATCTTAATTTAGGGAACTAAAATGGTAGATTTAGAGGATAGAAATTGAATGTTTCTTAACAATTGAGCACATTGGTGGAAGAAGGGCGTCTAGGACAAACAACATTTTTAAGAAAATGAAGATTGAATATTGTATTGTAAATAAACAAAATTTAAGTTTTTGGAAATGGTTAGATACTTAACTCAGTAATGGCTAATTGATTATTCAGTCCTTGAATGTTTGATACTCATAGTCCAAAAAAGTATCAGTTCGTGATACATTATTGCAATGTCAATATTAATAAGATGTTATCAACTTATTATTCAAATATAAAAAAGGAAAAGGAATATATTATTGATGTATTACTCCTTACCACTAGATATCATAAGCAACTGAGGCAGAGGCTATTACTGACATCTTTACCCTGAACATCCAGATTGAAAATTTCCTTGCATACTTTTTGGAGAAATATTCCAAAAATTTAAATGTCTTGTGTGCAGATCTTACTAGTAAAAATTAATTATAGATTGTAATAAATATAGCCCAGAAGTTCAAGCATTTATTTTACCTAAAATAGTCTCGCAAAAAGGCATTTATTTTTATTAAAATAGGTACAAAAAAAGGATTTATTCTAGCTAAAGAAGGAGTGCAAAAAGATGCACAAACAATGAAAAATCACATTTAAAAGGAATTATTATAAAAAATGAATATTTAAAACGATCAACATTTTTATTCTAACTCTAAAATTTACATTAGCACTTAATGTGCGAGTAAACTATCTGTTCTTGGTAATCTCGATTCAATGTGTAATCAAGGCAGTGGCGAAGATGAAGGCAAAAGTTGAAGTCATTTGACTGTGTGTGATGGCTACAAATTTGTCTTATTCCCAAAGCTCTCTCTTCCAAATGATATTGTGGACTCCCTTTTGAATCTTGAAATTGCATTTAGGATCATTGCATGAACGGAATTATATATTTCCTTCTTCAGGCGATGTAATCACCAGCACTGCAAATGGTATGTCATACACAGAGAGTTGTCATCAGAAGTCAATGAAGGAAGGGAGAGAAAAAAAAAAATCTTGGCAGATAACTTCCTTTTTCATTCACACTTTTAACAGTCATGTTTCCTCAAAAAGACAAAATATGACTGTGCCTTTGTAATGTCCAGGCTTGTTGGTATACTATATTTAGCTTTATTGAGATTGGTATCAGGAAAAAAATTGCAAAAATGACATAAAAGGCAAAATGAAAAATCTACTAACTTCAGAAGTAAGATTAAGTCATTGCTTTTGTCAAAAGCCATGAAATAGTAACAATAACAAAAAGGCATTTTGCCAAACGTTTGAGCTCTACTAATAAGTATACTAATCGTTGTAAAAAATTCCTTGCTTTGAAATGGACAAACATCCTAATAATTGTTCATCTTTACAATCACACTTAAAACGCACATTTTTCCAAGAATTATTACTCAGTAAACAACAAAAGCTGTTAAGAATTTCATATTTGATGAGATGAGATGTTGAAAAAAGATAAGTAGTCAATAAGAGTGAGGGAAATGTTTCAGTTTCAAAAACATTTCTGCTATAGTGTGAGGCTTAAACATTTTAACTGTGCCACCATTTTGAGGTGTTTCAGTGAATTAGTGTTCTTTGGAGGGTTAAAGTTCAGCATAAAAAGTTTCTTCTCTTTCTTTGAGATTGGGTTCCATATATGGTAAAAGCAGGGACTGAAATTACAGTTTTAATCTCAGCTGCCTTGATCATGCTTTTCACAGTGTTGCAGACACTGAAGATTTCAATTTCCGGGTATATCCATTTAATATCATAAGTCAAGAATGTAGTTTTGAGGGTTTGTAGGGCATGTGAAAATTTTCAAAACAATTATCCTGACCTGCCTCTATTTCCCCAGTCTCTCTCACAAGGTAAGATACTTGGCTGAAGGCAGCTGAAACCTTTCGCAAGAACCAAGGTGGAAAAAAAACAACATGTTCTAAGTTACCTATCAGTTTTTTAATGGAAAAAAAAACCAACCCAACACTAAATTATTGATGCAAAATCCTAGTTTGAAATGGAATCTAGAATACATTTATTCAAAAGCTGTGTTTATAGGAGGTAAAATAATGTCACTGGAAACCAAAAACTTGCTATTTGCAAATAGAAATGCAACAGTAAACAGAGCCATTAAAACTCTGGATGATGGACAAGAAGAAAATGAAGAAATTTCTCAATGTTTTGCAGAAAATACCCAGGGGGATCCTAGGGCATACAACAAAGAACTGGTATTTTGAGTGGAAAATCTGGAAGTGATGGCCAAGGACTCTGGTGTTGAACAGGATCCAATAGATATTGAAATGATCAGAAATGTGCCTGTGACAGCCTTAAAGACTACATTTTATCAAAAACCTTTTCTATATTAGGGAATAAGACTAATATGTTTATAAATGAAATGCATTAACTTTGTCTTCCATCTCTCTTAGAAGTTGGTTGCACATTTTTATTGAAAGTGAAATTGAGTAT